GCTGTGCTGTCAAAGCCAATCCCAATTTTATTCACACATTGTAATTTCTGTACACCCACCTAGATAAGAGAATTTGGACCCAAAAAAATATGAGAAGAAAATAAAGGGACCGATGGCCCTGGAGGGACATGGGAGTATAGGAGGTAGGGGAAGGGAGGAGGGTTGGAGACTGGAACTCTATATGGGGTTAGAAAGCTGCATCTTTCTCCTGCGCATCCAACTTAAAGAAGCGATAAAATATGTAACTGCACTCCACGTATCTGTGGTAACTCACAGAAATCAAGTATATATTCCTCTTTTCCCAGATTCCTTATCTAAAAGTTTGATGTGAGAAGTTGTGTCACAATAATCCCCAAAGTCCTTTACTTTCACAGATTTCAAAGTTCACAAACTACAAAATCAGAAAAAAAAACAGCTTTGTTTGAAATATGAGATCAAGTGGAAATCTCACATGAGCGTGCTTCCAGTGGGAGGTACCACCTCTGGAAGCAGGTTTCACCTGTTCCGCAGTACCTCATAGCCCAGCCACCAGCTTTTGCACTTCTAGAATATATTTAACAGAAATGCATGCATATGTGATCCAATGCATATGTATAAGGATATTCATTGCCTCATAAATATTTAGAAACAAATATTTAACACAAAACTGAAGCATTAAACAATAGAGCATATTTTTTGTTGCATTCTGACAAATACAAGTATTAAAATAAATGAAAAACAGTCATGTGAATCATGGATAAATCTCACAAATATAATCTTGTGAATGGAATCAAACAACACATAAACTGTATTATTTAATGTGTATATGTTTAATTTGTTATTCATAAATGCAAGTGATGGGAATTCCAAGATTAGGGATGGTAGAAGTCAGGATACTGGTTCCTTTTGTTGCAAAAAGAGCAAATGGAACAAAAGAAATACTGAATAATGTTCTATGTCGAAGTTGACAAAGTAGGGATTCTGGGCCACACTGGCTTACCACTTGTTTTTGTAAATAAACTTCTATTTTAAAAATGTGACACTTTGAATATTCTCTGTGCCTGCATTCTTGCTACAACATTGAAAGGAAGGGGCTGTGTGGCTGCCGATCCATGCATCCACTCAGCTCCCAAAACTCACCGACTCCGAGTTGATTCCAGTTCCTAGAGATCCTGAGACAGAGCACAACTGCCCGAGTGGAACCCTGAGACTGTAATTGTCTACAGAAGCAGAAAGTCTCGTCTCATTTTGCACTGCTGACTGTGCAATGAGTAGCCCATCACGAAACCCACCACATCACTGGGGCATTCAATATTGCCTATTATTGTTGCTGCGCTCAACATTGAAATGGAGCATCTGGGAGCCCAACCACCAGTCCCTCATAGATCACAGTCATGGTAAGCTTGTGTTTATGATGCATGATCACTGTCAGCTATAACTCTCATACACTTACCAATGGCTTTCCCTGCCTTCATCTCGCTCGCTGACTTCCCTCCTATTGTATATTGCCTTTATCGTTACCAAGATGAACATGCAACTCCCTTCCTTTCCTTCCACCCCTGGAAAACATCAAAAACATGTTTCCTTTAGAGTTAAGATCTTTTTTTTTTTTTTTACTTTTTTCTTGGGATTGACTTATGTCACTCAGCATAATGTTCTCCAGGTCCATCCTTGTCATGAGATGTTTTGTCCAAAACCCAAACCAAACTCCCTGTGATCGAGTAAATGCTGGCTTCTAGGGACTCTCCAGGACAGGGCAGAGCTGTTTCTGTTAGTTTCTGAGATTGAAACGCTTACAAAAGTAGAAAACCCTGTCTTTCTCCCAAAGTGTTTTGTAGTGTCCTCATTATTCTTTAACATTGCACAGTGTGTTAGGATGCATTCTATAGAGAGGCAAAACACATGCGAGCATGTATACAGAAAAGGATTTACATCAAGAAATGTATCACACAGTTGTAGAATTGTATAAGTCCAGGCTGGTTCAAGTCAGTGGGTCAGATGTAAGATAAAGATGCAGACATTGGGGTGGTGGTATATACGACTCAATGAAGACAATTATATCTCAGTTGGTATGAAAATGGGAAGAATAACCTCCCATGGAGATAAAACACGCAACCATATGTTTGACCTCGTTTGTGTCCAGCCCGTGGTGCCCCTGGCCATGTGCTACAGACAAGTAGGACTTCAAACTCTGTTCCTTCAATGTGTACAACATCCTTCATGAGTCAGACCTGAAGGAATCAATGTGGAAACCCCACTTAGCAAGAAGGCTTTACCTCAACTCACCAACGGAGCCCTTGGAATGAAGGCAGAGACTTTTTATTGTGAGACGTAGATGAGCACTATCCCAAGGGTGTAGAACTGCAGCCAATGGACTATTGCTCTGATCGCCTGCCTGGAGGGTGCCCGATGACTGTGGGTTGGGAATACCATATACTTAATAGTGTAGTGCCTTCTTTGTTTTATAATGACATCTATTAATCTGACAAGCATAGTTCTACCATTGTGCATGAATATTATTGACAGTTTTGCCCTATCACCACCCCCTACTGTTGTAGATAGGGTCCGGTCACTTAAGAGTTTAATCCATATATTCTGTGATGTCTTCATGAGGGTGAAAATCAAGTAGAGTCATGCCATAGATCTAGCTATTTGTAGATTGGAGCTAGCATTAAATGTGAGCCCTGAAAGCATTATTATATCTATGGATTATATTGGTCTCTGTATTAGTCTAGGTACTTTAGAGAAACAAATCCACAGCAACTCATGTATAAGAGAGTTTTATGTAAAGAAAATGTGCATCACAAAAACATCCCAACCCAATGCTGACCAAGCCCACAAGTCCAACATTAACCCATTAACCCAACAACAGTCCACAAAGTCCTCCACCTCACAAAACAGAGGCAATGATGCCGACTGCAGGAGGAAAGCTGAGTCAGTGAACGAATATGCATCTCAGCACTAGCAGGGGTCTCCACATGGCTGCTCCAGCACCCAGGGCTGCATCGGGATAGGTCCATGTGGCTTCTCCTTGGGGATATCTTGTAGGAAGTCAATCTTGCAAGCTGAAGCAGGGAGCTGCTAAGGCAGCTGCACCCTGGTGCGACCATCACAAAGCAAGAGACCCGAGAACTAGAAAGGCAAAGCTCACCACCCATTTATCCCTCTGCCTTTCAATTAGCCCCACATGTGATTATTGGCCAGGCTGGCACAATTAACTAACTCAGTCTCTGATTCATTTTAGAGACATCTTTATCATTTTCTGTTAGAGCATTATCAATCAACCCCCTAGGCCATAAGGCAATTCTATTGATAGTGTTATTTATATAGCTAAGGTTACAGAATTTAAAACACTGTTTACAAATGGAAATTATACACGTAGGATTTCCAAGACTGTAATGTAGATCATGCCTCTGATTCTTTGACCTTGTGTTATATTACCCGCTGATCCCAGAAGCCATCAAAAAAACTCCTAATCTTGGATTCATTCAGCCAGGCTTACATTAACTCATCTTAGCATCCACCAGCCTGTGGTCTTCCTGCTTCATCTTCCTGATCCCTGTTCATCAACTCCCACAGCTACAGGAGTCAGCTTGTATTTGACTTTTGTGACTTGAATTTCCAATAAGGTTCACTTATCGCTCTGGTAGGAGCGTCTGTTGATTTGGGATGACCTTAGCACAATTTTGTATAGCAGCAACTAAATGGTGTCCTTCTCCACACATCTTGAAAAGGTGACCCCAGTTGAGGTGAGGTCTTTTGTGTCGAAATGGTTAAAGCAGAAGCTTAATGTTTAGGTAGGATCTTTTCCTCTCCTATAAATTTAGAAGTACTAAACCTAAAAACCAAAAGCCTACAGTATTTAATACCTAGTCTTATACAATGCTCACAATTGTACCAAAAAATATCATGCTGAATGAAGAAGAAATTAAAGTGAGCAATGACCTCATCCTATTACAGTAACATTCAACAACTATGTAAGTAGCATTCAAGGGGGGAAACCCCACACATTTCTTTGGGAAAAGCTCCTGTAAAAGAGTGCTTTATATATTTATAAATGAAAATAACATATGATTCAGCAGTACTAGTATTTCATATATATACTAGAAAAGTAAGTGCTGAAACATGAATAGATATAAACATATCCATGCTCATTATAGGAGTAATCACAAAATTTACAACATGGAAATAACCTACAAGTCTTACACTAGAAGAGTGGGTAAGCAAATGAGGGGACACACACAAACTGAAACACCATCTTAAATAATGAGGAGTCTGCAGAACACTTCCTATCATGGATGAACCTGAAGGACATTGTGCTGACTGAAGTAAGTTAATCACAAAAGGACAATTATTATGTGAGATCGCTATTATAAACATTAAAAACAAAAGGACGGGGAGGGGTTTCACACTAAAAACAGAACAAAAAAACCCCACCATTCTTTCATGGTTACCAGGAGTGGAAGAAAGAAGAAAATTAACTTACTAACTAGGAAGTTGTTGCTGTTGCAGTTAGATCCCATTGAGACAATTCTGACCCATAGTGACATTATGCACAACAGAATGAAACACTGCCCAGTCCTGAAACACCCTCACAATTGTTCCTATGCCTGAGCCCATTGTTTCAGCCACTGCATCAATCCATCTTGCCAAGGGTTGTCCTCTCTGTCACTGGCCTCTATACTTTTACCAAACAGGATGTCCTTCTCCAGGGACAGTCTGTCCTGACAATAAATTCAAAGTTTATAAGATGAAGTCTCACCATCCTCGCCTCACAGAACACTGGCCTTACTTCTTACTTTTAGGAGTCACTGCACGGCACCTTCAAGATTCTCCAAGACCACAATTAAAGCGCATCTATACGTCTTCAGCCTTCTCAATTCAATGTCCAATTTTCACATGTACATGAGACCACGGAAAACACTATGGCTTGGGTCAGGCTTACCTTAGTCCTCAAAGTAACAGCCTTCCTTTTCAATACTCTACAAAGGTCTGTACAACTGATTTACCTAATGCAATGAGTCTTTTGATCCCTTGACTACTGTATCCATGAACACGAATATCCATGAATATTGATTGTGGATCCAAGCAAGACAAAATCTTTAACAACGTCAATCTTTTCTCCGTTTATCATGATGTTACTTATTGGTCCAGTTGTAAGGATTTTGGTCTTCTTGACATTGAGTTGTAATCCAGATTGAAGGCTAAAATCTTTGAATTTCATCAACAAGTGCTTCAAGTCCTCCTCACTTTCAGCAAACAAGGTCATGTCATTGCATATCACAGGTCGTTAATAAACCTTCCTCTAATCCTAATACCACATTCTTCTTCATATAATCCAGTTTCTCTGGTGATTTTCTCAGCATACAGATTGAATAAACATGATAAGTGGAAAAAAGCCTGTCCCACACCTTTCCTGGTTTAAAACCATGTAGCGTTCTCTTGTTCTGTTTGCACAACGCCTCTTGATCCATGTACAAGTTCTGTGTGAGCAAATAAGGTATTATGGAAATCACATTCTTCTCAGTTATCCATAGTGTGTTATGATTCACACATTCTCATGCATTGGCATAGTCGATAAAACACAAGTATAAAGTAGACACATGTTAATTTGGGTGAAGGGTAACACGATACACAATAAGAGAGAAGTCACAAAATGATGAAGGCAAGGAAAGACATTGGAACTAGTCCAAGAGTTAAAGACAATAGGAGTAACTAACGCTACATACACAATCCTTTAATAACAGTGATCGATGTGGGATGTGTAAATAGACAAAATGGCTGAATTGGTGTGGGAAGGAGAGTTGGATCACACCAACAAATACGTAGATAGTTGAGAGAGAATATTTCTATGTCTGTATTTACCTTTGTTGCAAATATGGTCATGAATGTGTTGGAGTGTACAGGGAGCAAAGTTATGAAAACTCCTTAGGGGTAACCAAATTGTTTGGTTTGGGAGCTCAGGACCATGGTCTGGGGGACCCCATAGCAAGTTTTGTCCAAAACAATGCATTAAATTATACTCTGAGTAAGGACCAACTGGGATCTTAAAAGTTCATCCACAGCTATCATAGGGGCAACTAATGCTCTCTCCCTGTCAGGAGGACAGAAGAGTGAAGAAAAGACATGAAAACAATTAGTCCAAGAGACTAAAGAACCAAGGGAACACCAGTCTCTGTGACCCTGAGACCAAGAGAACTAGGGGGTGCCTGGCTACTTCTACCAACTGTTCTGAAAGAGATCACTTTAGTAGATGCTGCATACAGGGGGACAAAAATGTGGGCACAAACTAAAATCATAAAATTATTATATTTACTAGTCAGCTAAAGGTTGATTAATTGTTTCCCAATGTGGACAATATTGCTGAAATATTAGGGGAAGGGGGGCTGCAAAAGTAAATTCCTACACTTTATCCTGAATTATGGGCTATAATATAAAAGTTTTTTATTTAGTTTTATTTTATTTTATTGGGGGCTCTTACAACTCTTATCACAATCCATACATATTTCCATTTTGTCAAACACAAGTTGTCATCATCTTTTTCAAAACATTTTCTTTCTACTTGAGCCCCTGGTATCAGCTCCTCCTTTCGCCTTCTTCCTCCCTTACCCCTCCTCCCTCTCCCATGGCTCCCAACAATCTGTAAATTGTTCTCTTTTTTTCATATTTTACACCGACTGCTATCCCATTTCACTCAACCTCTGATTTCCATCCCCCGTGGATGGGGGACACATGTCGATCATTGTGATCAGTTCCCCAACCCCACTCCCCTTCCACGCTTACCCTCCTAGAATTGCTGTTCCCCTTATTGGTCCTGAGAGGTTTATCTGTTCTGGATTCACTGTGTTTTGAGCTCTTATGTGTACAATTGGTAAAATAGAGATGGGGTTCATTGTAGTTAGGGGGTGGGGGAAGCATTAAAGAACCAGAGGAAGGTTGTGCATTTCATCAGTGCTATACTGCACCCTGACGGGCTTTTCTCTTCCTTGTGGTCATTCTGACAGGGGGTTGTCCAATTAACTGCTGATGGGCTTTGGTTCTCCACCCTGCCCTACCCCTCATTCCCATTTATATGTTTTCTGTTTGTTTTGTCTTTGAAACCTGATACCTGATCCCGTTGACACCTCATGGTCACACAGGCTGCTGTGCTTCTTCCATGTGGGCTTTGTTGCTTTTCAGCTAGATGGCCGCTTGTTTATCTTCCAGCCTTTAATATCCTAGATGCTATATCTTTTGATAGCTGGGCACCATCAACTTTCTTCACCACATTTGCTTATGCACCCTTTTTGTCTTCAGCAATTGAGTCTGGAAGGTGTGCATCATAGAGTGCATGTTACTAGAACAAATTGTTCTTGCATTGAGGGAGTACTTGAGTGGAGGCCCAATGTCCATCTGCTACAGGAATACTTTATAAATACATGTGCATAGCTCTATTCCCCATCATTGTATATAAATGTACATACATATTTACATGCATATGTACAGACCTTTACAACTGTCCTGTGCCTCCCAGTTATTTCCTGTATTTCCTTTCACATTCCTTCCATCCCACTACCATGGTTGGCCTTCATTCGGGTTTTGGTAATTCCTCTCGGCTACATTGCCCTTGAAAAAGCCCCCACTTGCCCAAGCATGCCCAACTTGCCATCAATTTTAGGTCACTTATTCTTCCCTAGTCCCTGGATTTGTTGGCATCCCCCTCCTTTTCTTCCATCTCTCCCTCTCCCATGTCTCCCCAGAATCGGCCGTCCCATTGTTCTCTCCTCAGGATTGTTCACAAAAGTTTTTAATTGCCAGGAAAATACACGGTAAATTTTTTCCTGAAAAAGGGGCGATAAGAGACATAAATTTGGGAATATATGGACTGATAGAACCCCTGAGACTATGGTTCTAAGTTGCCCTCTTTGTCTGGAAATGAACTCACCCCTGTGGCTCAATTTTCAACCAAATAGCAGACATGTTTCTAATCCTAATTATTCTAAGACAAGCACTAGAATAATCAACCATATTGTAAACTCTATGAAGGAAACCGTGGTCAAACTTCTAATTGTTCATTGTTCACTCTTATAAACGCAGTGAATAAATGTCTTCATTGTTGATTTGTTGTTAAGATAGCGGACAACTCTTAGATGGGCTAGATGGGGTTACAGTGCTTGAATGTTACCGAGTCTCACAGACTCTACCATTAAGCATTATCACAAAAGATGGCACAGAAATGAAACAAATAGAAATAAAAGGAAACGTTTTAAATGAAGAACAAATCATTTATTTTATTTATATGTTGGCAATCTCAGGTTCACTACTACCAATGGAAAGCTTCTCTCTTAAAAAAAAGATACATAATGTTTGGGGTGAATCTTTTCATTTCCTATGAATCTACAGTAGCATGTACCCATTATCCAATTGCCCACATTGGCAACGTTGGCCAAATTCACCCAAAAGCCCAAGCCCTTAAGCTTATGATCATAGCAAAAATAGCAAATAAGAAAATAGGAATACATGCATAGAGGCATTCATAATCCTCCCAGAGTGACAATTGCTACCAGGACACACCCACTGCTGTCGAGTTGATTCTGACTCTTGGTGTTCCTAAATAGAGTTTTTGGGGAACTCAAACTTTTTACTATGGAGCACTGTGTGAGTTTGAACTGCTGACTTTACAGTCCGCAGCCACTAACACAATCAAACTTAACACAGTGCCATCTATTTGATTCTGACATGTTGACTCTACAGGATAGAGTAGAACTTCCCATGTTAGGGTTTCTGAGAGTGTAAATATTTATAGGAGCAGAAACTTCCATCTTTTTCCCATGGAGTAGATGGCGGTGAAAGAGCACAATGGAACTTAATGTATCAGGAGAGGACCCATTACTTAGGGAAAATTAGTGGGTGACTGAACAGGGGCAGGTTTATGCTTGGATTTATCAACCCTCTCTGAGTCAATGTACTAGAGTAGAACATGGGTTTTGAGATCAGGCTGCATATGCATTGTAACCCTTTCTTCCCCAGTGACTGTCTTATCTTCTCATTTAAATATGTGTATCTGATATGGCTTCTTTTGCTCTTATTTCATGTTTCTTTATACCATTGATCATTTGAGTTAATAGCAAAAGCCCTCCTGAGATACACAGTGCTGCCTTATTCATAGGTGAAGAGAGTAGATTAGTTTGTCTCTGTCGATGGTCCCAGGAGATTAATATAACACTGTTGGCCCCACAGCTGAGTTTTGTCTTACTATAAAGTCCCTGGCTCATGAACTACATGCTATTATCTCTGCTGGTGTAAACAGAGATGGCGCTTTCTTCCTCATGAAATTGGTAAGGAGGTAGGAAAAACGTGTTTACTATGTGTACCTTATTCTTTGTTGTCTATCTACAAATCCTCAAATGATTTTTACCAAAAATCCAGGTGACATTTGATCCACAGTATCTTCAGAGATCTATATAACAAAATATCTTGCACTGTACTAATCTTTAGTTTTATGTTTGTCATATTTTTCCCTCGGATTTAACTGGAATACAGGGAAATAGAAAGTAAAGATTCATAAGAAAAAACAAACAGTCATAAGGGCATGGTAACATTTTATTTTATACAAGTATATTTCTTTTTAATTCAATAATGCTTTACAGCATGTCTACCACCACTGTAATGTCTATATAAAATTTTACTTTATCCTCAACTTAGAATGCTTCATTTTCTAATTCTTTAATAGTTATCAACTCCTCGCAGATATTTTGGTCAAAAAAGTGGCCATTTGGAAGTGATTCTCCCATATACTCCTCCACTTCCCCGCAATTGCCACTTCCTCATCAGTCGTCATCCTTTGACAAGTTAAATGTTTTATATTCTGTATTTACTCTTTAAGAATTACCTATAAATATTAATTTTTCATTTCTATATTATTGATCTCTCTTCATCTACCATATGTTTAACTATTTATAAGTCTTTTTTAAAGTCTTTTTCATCTTATGGAAAAAAAATTCTCGATCCAGCTTATAACTCCTTTGTTGTCATTGCACTCACCGTGTGCTCCATCTCCCCTTCCTATTCCTTCCTGCCTGCGGAAATGTATATCTGCTGAGTAAATGCTGCCCTTTCATTCCATAAGGTTGATTGTTCAAAGGATGCTGGTGCTATTGCTTACCCTATAGTCCTGTCTATTCTTTGACTGAAACCTTTCTAAGGGCCAAACTCTCAGAGGTTCCACAAGATCCTCTCTAGCCACAAGGCTAGCTTTTTTTTGTTAACTTGAATTTTATTACATATTTTCTCCACTCTGTCCAAGGACTACTATTGTGACCCATTTCACAGTGATCAGCAAAGATAGCTGGGGAACATCTTGTTCTTTAGACCCAGAGTCATGGAGGCTGGAGTTCATGTGGTATACGATTGTGTCTCTGTGCCTTTGATTTCCCTCATTGTTCTTTGCTCTGCTTGACCAGAGATCAAACGTTGCTTTTAAGATTTCAGTCAATACTAATTTAAATAAGGTATAGAACATTGTCTTTGTGGATTATGTCAAGCATTGGTTTCTTTAGCTGAATGTCCCCTACTCATTCCATATGTAAGATATTCAAATTAAGTGCATTAATTTGTTTGTCTAAGTCTTTGTTCAATGTTTTTTCTGATATCATGTATAATATTAAAATTTTAAAAACATAAAATAATTACCTTAAGTTGTTTAAATCTATATAGGAATATTTTTATTAAATTTAAGTGTGAAAATATTTTTATATCTGCTATATATCGCTAATTCAAAATATAAGCAAATATTAGAGTTTGATTTCAAGGTTTCTCAGTGATAGAAAGTTTATTTTTATAACCCTCCTTGACAAAAGAAAAATTTTAGATTTTTTTAAAATAAAAAGTTAATTTATGATTTTATAGGATGTGAGCTTTTGGAACAAAATGCTACAGCTCTGGAACAACATGAACATTCTAAGCAACTTGACATCTCCATTTCCAACCTTTTTGCTGACTGGCATTCCTGGTCTAGAGTCTGTCCAGACCTGGTTCTCCATCCCATTCTGTTTTCTCTACGCCATTGCCCTCTTGGGGAACAGCATGATCCTGTTTGTCATCATCACCCAGAAGAGTCTCCATGAGCCCATGTACTATTTCCTCTCCATGCTTTCAGCTACAGACCTGGGCTTGACAGTTTCTACGATGTCAACAACATTATCTGTTCTGTGGTTTAATGCAAGCAAAATAGGTTTAGATAGTTGCATTATCCAGATGTTTTTCCTTCATGGATTGAACTCCATGGAATCTGGTGTGCTTTTGGTTATGGCCTTTGACCGTTATGTGGCAATTTGTAACCCTCTGAGGTACACCACCATCCTCACTAATTTCAAAATCATTCAGATGGGCCTATTGGTGGTCATTCGAACTGTAGTTTTAGTAGCACCAGTACTCTTGTTAGTTAAGCATCTCACTTTCTGTAGAGCTAAAACCCTTTCTCACTCCTACTGTTACCATCCAGATGTGATTAAGTTAGCATGTTCAGATACTAGGGTCAATAGCATCTGTGGATTAATTGGGCTAATCCTGACCACAGGAATGGATACACCATGCATTATTTTGTCTTACATCATGATTATTCGCTCAGTTTTAGGCATTGCCTCTCCTGAAGAGCGACACAAAATCTTTAGCACTTGTGTTTCCCACCTTGGAGCAGTTGCCATTTTCTACATCCCCCTGGTGAGCCTATCCTTGGTGCATCGCTATGGTCAGTCAGCTCCTAGAGTGGTCCACTCAATGATGGCCAATATATTTCTGCTTCTGCCCCCTGTGCTCAACCCTATCATCTACAGTGTCAAAACCAAACAAATACGCAAGGCTATACTCAATCTGCTTCAGACAAAATACTCTAACCTCTAAGTAAAAGGAGCCCTTTTGGAGTTGGACAGACAAAACAAACAGAGTTTAAATTAACTATCAATGATTACCATGAGTGGCGTGTAAATTTCAGTGAAAAAGGCAGACACAGCCATTGTCCTATAGAAATAGTATATAGTATACCCTCAGTAAGTTTGTTTTTAGAAAGACCTTTTTGTGAATCTTCATAAGAAATATAATTGATAAGGTAAAAATCAATGGACTCTTAAATCAGGCAGCATAGGTGACTCTCCAAAACATTTATTCTTTTCTCTTACCAAAGAAGAATCATGACAAAAAGGGTAAAATGTAGAACAGAATTTCAAACTCGCATGTTAAAAAAACAAAGTTAAATACAATTACATAACACACACACACAAAAAAAATTCTCATGGACTCTGGACTCCTCTGGACATGATGTTTAACTGAACCACTTTAAATATTGCCCTGATAAAAATTTTAAACCTTAAACTAAACATATCCTTTAAAACCATCTTAGAGGCAAAAATAGTAGTTTAGCTTACCTAGGGGGGAAAAGTCACCTTGAGCATTATACATTTAAAAGAACTATTTATATGGGATAAAATTGAAAACAACACCTCTGAAAATCAGATCGGAACCTTGGGAGGAAGTGAATTTTATTACCGAGGGAGGAAAAAGCCTGGTAAAGAAAGTAAGAATGGTGGCACAACTCAAAAACTAATCAATGATGCATATAACATCTAAATGTAACATGATAGAACCATTCAGTTGGTGTATGTTTTACTGTGTATATTCTCAACTGCAGCAAAATAAAGAAATTGATATTTACAAAATATCATTTCCACAATTACCTTAAAACTGCTCCATGGGCTTCCTTAACTATCCAACAGCCAAGATAAAGAGTTTGTGAGTCTCAATCTTAAAGCTGATTTATGAAAGAAAGCCCAATTTGAGTGAATATGCTTACATCTTGAGAAAGTGCAAACACAAGATATGAAGACTTTCCATGAGATATTTTATTTGCTAGCACACCACTGAGGACAACTCGCCCACCAAAGGAGAAGAAAATTGAAAACCAGTAAAATATGTCCCCTTGTATTTAAGGAACTTAAAATCTACTCCATGTAGTGGAGATAATAAAAAATAAATAAACAATGATGTCTCATGTGTGGTAGGTGATAATACAAGAGAATAATTTTGCCCCTCTTTATATTGCCATGAGTTGAAAGTGTTAATAATGGCAAAGTTAAGTAAAGCATAGCTTTAGAACAACTCTGGGAAAGAATATAAAAGGTGCTATGTACACTTTAACTATACATAATACATTTTAATTTTTTAATTCATTAGTCTTATAAATGTGGAAATATGAAAACACTTAAAAATGTTTCCAGTGTTTCTCTAATTATCAACTTCTCCCAAGTTAATTTATATTGTAGTGTTTACATTCATTGTTTAAAGAGCATCTTCTGCTTAACAGTGATAGCTTGTAAAACAAATCAATTTGTAGATTTCCCTCAGAAATTTTGCTGTGCTACTTTAAGTTTATATGTGGGATTTTTATTGTACTCAGTCAGCTTTCCTGTTAAGCTGCTAGAATTATTGGAAAGCTACCAGACAAAAGATTAATATTGACAATTTTTAGTTACTGCTACTCAAAATTATACAGCATCACAAAGAAATAAGCTAAACACGATGATAAAAATTCTCCACGCATGTACGTGAAACCATTCAAGCTGAAACCACCATGTTATTGTACGTATCAAAGGGTTGTTAAAAGGTGCAAGTTGAATTTTCACTACTGACGACTTGTCGTTCACTTTGTTGTACTGTGGAGGGTTTTGTGTTACTGTGATGCTGGAAGTTATGCGACCAGTATACCACCAGTCACCTACTGGTGGAAAGGTTTCCATGGAGCCTCCAGACTAAAAAAGATTAAAAGAAGGTTCTAACAATCTATTTCTAAACAGTTGTCCAGGGAAACTCTTCTGAATAGCAGCAGAAAAGTATCTGATACAAAGCTGAAAGATGAGGCCTTCAAGTTAGAATTCATTCAAAATACAAATGGAAACTTGGTGCAGCCACCTCAGTACAGCGTTGGCCTTAGTAACATTGTGGGAGCAAAGCTTTGGGATCATCTTGCGTTGACATAGCAGGACTCAAAATGAGAGTAAAGAGCTGCAAATGTCCATTAATAATCAAAACATGGGATGAATGTAGGAGAATTGGAACATAGTTGAACTATTGAATTTTATAATATGCGAATCGCATGCCAATTAATTAAATGGAACAAATAAAGAGCGATACTCTAGATTCATCAAAGATGGGTTGGTGACTATTGTACAAATGTTGGTAAAACTAAAACTCTTGCTCCTATTTTTTTAATGATAGTCCTTCTGTAGTCCTAATATACTTTCTCACTCCTCTTGTTATCACCCTGATGTGCATACAGGCTCTTTCTCAAGTATCAAGGTGAGGAGCAGCTATGGCTTAGTTAATCTCTTTCAGATATCTGGTATAGATATCCAGATATATGATGCTGAACTCCATCATATATGATGTGAACACTAAGCTGATTTCAACCTCAAAGTAGCTAGTCTGACCTAGATAATGATCATCCTGCTTCCTTCCTTTCTTTATCTTGTACTGAATTGCAACCAGATTTTTTTTGTACTTACCATACTATAGGATATAAGAAACATTCCTAAGAAATAGGGAAATTTTTCTGTCTCCACAAATAGTTTATATAGTCTAGTGACAGAACATAAATATACAATAACAATGATAGATGATAAGAAATATTTTATAATTATGTTAAGCAGGCTTTGAGACACGGAAGAAAGTATTTTAATAAGAGTGGGGATTCAAATAACTCTTAAACGAGATTACTACATGAACTGTAAAGAATAATTGACGAAAAAGGGCCTCCCAGGCTAATAGCTCAGCTTTAAAGTCAATGAGATATCATATACATCAAGAAATTGCACAGTGTCAAAAAAGTTTTGAGGAGACGTGAGAGGGAAAGGGAGAATTGAGTTTATATGCAAAAATGTAGGAAAATGATCATGGTGATCACTGATATAGTTATTGAAACTTTTGAAAAAGAATTATTAGAATTAGAAAGGAAGAAAAGAAAGACAACAACCAGACCAAAAGACTTCAATTTTCAAACTACAGGTTTCAATTTAACATAAACTCTGCTACAGAACAATAAAAGAAAGAAATATCTTGGTGAGCTTTATAAGCCAAACAGTCATCATACAGTTTTTGGGTTTTTTGATGTTTGTTTTCTTTTTTTTAATGAAACCAATTTTATTCACTATTAAAAAGGAGGACCCAATCAGTGAAATGCAGGAAAGGGATATATAAAACACACCACACAGAGAGAGAATGCATGCAAAGGGAGAAACAAATACAAATATCATTTATAGAAAAGTTGATATATAGACAGAAAGATCAGCTCTTAAATAAAAAAATGTATTTAGTAAGAACTCTAAAATATGTTACCAGACTTCTTCATATTTTCTATTCATAACCATTTTGAAAAATTAATTTAGTGGATAATCACGTGAAATATATGAAAAAAAAACCAATAAAAACCTAAGGAAAAGAACCAACAAGATGTGAAAAACCTCTATAGATAGTGATAAAACATCATTGGGCGAATCTGAAGAAACCCTCAGTTAATGGAGGGATCAGCTATACTCTGTTCTTTTTTGTTTTGAAATCATTTTATTAGGGGCTCAATATTCTGTTCTTATATACAGGGCTTGTAATGGCTAGTTTTTTATGATCATCGGGCCTCTTTTTTACCCTGAAAGCTCTAGTGAAACCTGTCCATTATATCTGACCCTGCTGGGATTTGAAACAATGGTGGCCTAACCTCCAGAGTGACACAGTAGTCACAATGATGGGCCCAACTGTAGCAAATATATAGCTGGCCTCGGATTGGGCAATATTTTGCTCTATTGTCAGAGCTGACTCAACTGCACTTATCGCTAAAAACAAAAAGGTTCCTGCTCATTAACCTTTAGAAAGATGGAATCAAAACAAGATATCCTCTCACGCTAGCAAAGTTCAATAAGATAAAAAACATCAAATGCTGGTAAGGATGAGGAGAGATTGGAACACCCTAGCACTGCTACTGGGACTGTAATATGTTGCAACCACTGTAGAAAATAGTATGGTGCTGTCTTAAAAGGTTATAAATAAAAACCCTATTTTATCCAACAATGAAAATACTAGCTGTAGATCCTAAAGAAATAAGAGACAGCATGGATACACATATGAACACTCTTGTTCTTTGTATCATCATTCACAAGAAAAAAGAGATTGAAACAACTTAAGTGCCTATCAATGAAGGAATAAATTTAAACACCTAGGGTACATATACATATTGTAATAGTATGCAACAATAAAGAATAATGACAAAATCTGTGAAGCATCTTATAACATGGATAAACCTGAAAAACATTATGCTGAGTGAAAAATGTCCACCACGAAAGAAAAATATTTTGAGTCCACTAATATAAAAAGCAAGAAATGCGTTAGACATAATTTTTTTACTTTTTTGCTTACCTTGGTTGGGAGAGAAGGAGTGGGAAGGGGAAACAATTTATTAGATAATAGGTATTCATTTGGGTGAAAAAAGACAACATATAATAAAGGAAGTGACCAAGACAATATCACAATTGACAACTAAGATTAAAAGAGGTACTCAAGAGTAATAAAAATTAAGATAAATATGGTGACATAAATACTTTTTCATTATCAAAATAACAATTAATCTACAAAATAATAATCTATAAATGGATATACAATTAGACAAGAAAAATATGAATGAGTGGTAAAAGTAACTATACTCACAACTATATAAATCTGGCAGCTACTGTGTGGAGAGCAGTTAGTGTGTGAAAAGCAGCTGCTGTGTTGAAAGCAGCAACTGTGTTAAAAGCAGCAGTGTCGGAGGTAAAAGGACACTTCAAGAGTTATAATCACATATTGTTTTTGTGATTAATCACTAT